TGGAGGAGAATACTGAAAGTGCCATGGACTGCCAAAAGAACCAATAGATCTGTTTTGGAAGAAGTGCAGCCAGAGTGCTCCTTGGAGGCCAGGATGTCTACGCTTTGTCTCTCATACTTTGGACATATCATCAGGAGGGAACAGTCACTGGAGAAGGATGTCATGCTGGGTAAGATGGAGGGTCATAGAAAAAGAGGAAGACCCCCAACGAGATGCATCAGCCAGGTGGCATCATTGATGGTGTCCAGTGTGGTAGCAGTAGTGAGATTGGCCCAGGATCAGACATTGTTTTGTTCTGCAGTGCATGGGGTCGCTATAAGTCAGTTCCGACTCAATGGCACCTGTCATATCTGGACTGAGTTCTGGGTGGTTTTGTCAGGTATGTTAATCTCAGTTTGTTGTCTGCCTGTGTTGTTTCTCTGTCCAAAGAACATCATTTAGCTTTTTTTTTCTTTGTAAAGTGAGTCTGGTTATTACAAATTCCTTTAATTTTGGTTTATCTGGAAACGTCCTAAGTTCACTATCATATTTGAAAGACAGCTTTGCTGGATATGTGATTCTTGGTTGGCAAGTTTTTTCTTGCAGAGTTTTGTATATGCCATCCCATTGTCTTTTTGCCTATGTTGTTTATGCTAAGAAATTATATCTTAGTTTTATTGGTTTTCCTTTGTAGGTAACTTTAAATTTTTTCATGAGTTGTTCTCAGGAATCTTTCCTTTCCTTGGGTTTTGGAAAGCTTGATTATGATATGTCTTGGTGATTTTCTTAGGGGATCTGTACTGTTTGGGGTTCATTCAGCTTCTTGCATGCTTATCTTCTCATTTTTCTTGATGTTAGGGAAGTTTTCTTCCAACAACTCTTTGACAATTGTCTCTGTGCTTTTTATTATCTCATCCTATTCTGGAATTCCTATCATCCATAAATTATTCCTCTTCATGGTGTTTCACATAACTCTTAGGCTTTCTTCAGATTTTTCATTATTTTTTCTGATTATTCTAGCATACCAGTATTGAGAAATTTATCTTCAAGTTCACTAATTCAGGCTACCATTGCTTCTAATCTGCTCCTTTGCCTTTTCAATGTATTGTACATTTTATAATCTTAATATTAATCTTTTGGATTATTGGTTGCAGGTTTTTGTATTGTTTCAAAAATTGTATTTGACTGTTTGTTCCTTTAGTGTTTTCCTGTGTTCTTCTTGCTTTCCTCAATATTTCTGTCAATCCTTTGAAGGTACCTAAATATCATTCTTTTGAATTCTTTTTCAGTTAGTTCCATTACTTTTGCTTCCTCAGAAACCTTTTCTGGCTCTGCATCTTGGTCATTTGTTTGAGCCACTCTCCTTTGTTTCTTTGTGTGAGCTAAAATTGTCTATTGTCTCTAGAGCATTGTGGAGCTCTTGTATTTGCATTTAATTGAGAATTGTATGTTGGTGTGTTCTTAGGCTCTCACCAACTGTCTCCTGTGGGTGTAGTTAGAGAATGGAAGTTATAAAATTGGAATGAGGATAAACCCCTGCACATATAAACACACACACACACACGAGTGTAAAAAACTAAAAAACAAGCAATCAACAATGAAAAAGGGGAAACAAAACAAAACAAAATAGGTGGTAGCCATAAAAAGAATATAACAACTAAAAATAGAAAAGAGGGACAGAAAAATAAAGCTATAGTAGAGAAAAATAGGAAGAAATAATAATAACAATAAATGTTGAAAAACCGGTGAGAGGGAAGATGAAAAGATAAAGAGAGTAGAGAATAGTAAAGAAATTTCAAAAGGGAAAAGAAAAAGAGGAGAGGGAATGAGAAACAGAGGAAAAGAAGGAAAAACAAGAGTGGAGATAGAATACAATTCAAGGGAATGGAAAGAGAAGAAGGAGAAGAAAGAAAAAACAAACCAAAATAATGAAACAATAAAAGGAAAACAAAACAAAACGCAGAGCAGCTGTTGGACCTGGAGAGGAGAAAACTGTGGGGAACTCATGTCAGGCAAAGGAAATCACAAGGGGGATGCTGGTGGGATGTGATAGGAGAGTT